GCCTGCCCCCCCGCTGGCTCCACAGACCCCTCCTGCGGCCCAGACCATCCTCGGGAGCTCAGCCACAGTTCCCCCCTCCAGAGCATCCCCCCGCCAGAAGAGGGTCCTGCAAGAGGTACGTGACCCCCCTGCATTTCCTAACAGGCTTTCCTGCCCCACTGTGGGCCTGGAGTGGGGACAGAGCTCTTGGGGGCCCCCTGCATCCCACCCCCATGTCCCCTGCCGGGTTTGTCGTGCTGGGGAAGGGGGCGGCTGCTCTGCCCCAGGGCCACGTGGGGCTTCATGGGGTGGGTGGGCAGGGGAGGAGGGGGCCTGCCGGAAGCCCCTGCCTTGGCTTGGGACTGGGAGGGGGGCAGGGCTGCCCCCCCCATGGAAGGCTTGCTGCTGCCCAGGCAACCAGGCTGCTCCCCACCATGCCGAACCATCCGTGTGTCCCGGAGACGACTGCGGGGGGCAATGGCCATGGGGGGGGGGTGAGGACCCGGCCCAGAGCAGGTGACTGTCTGCGGGTCAGCGGGCCAAGAAGCCTCATCCCCAGGCGCTGGAGCGGCTGAGTGACCCGGGGCTCCTTTTGCAGGGCGGCTCGGCTGCTGAGGTCCCCCTCCCGGAGGCTGCCGGGGGCCCTCCAGGCGCAGGTACTCTCCTTCCCACGCCCCCCGCTCCCCCCTCCCCGCCTGGGGTCCCCGGGTGACAGCTCCTCTCCTTCCAGCAGGCCGGGCGCACAGCGGCAGCTGGGACGGTGCGTCGGAAGGCGGAGGCAGGACGGCAACCGAGCCCCGTGCCCAGCGGAGACCACAGCCGCCTCACCCGGACGGGCCGACCTGCCCCCGAGGCCACCGCACAGCCGGCGCTCAGCACTCCTCGCTGCCCGCGGCAGCCCCCCCCCACAATAAAGCCCAAGCGGGCAGCCACGTTTGCAGCTCTCTGTGCCCAGGAGTGTGGAGGGGCCCTCTGGGTCCCAGCGGGATGCAGGGCAAGAGAGGGGGCCAGGTCCGGACACAGCGAGGCCCCCTCCTCACCAGAGGCAAGGGCGGTGGGGGCCGTGTGGGAAGGCAGAGGCCTCAGCACTCCCTGCCGTGCCCACCCCGGCTGCCGGAGAACGGCGCCCCCTGCTGGCTCGCCCAGCTGCGTGCCCCTGGTGCCGCCTCGCCTCACCTGACCTGCCCTGCCCTGCCCTTTCCAGCTTCCCCTGGGCACCGGGCTGCCGGTTTTGTCCTGGGCCATGCGCGCCTTGGCCCTGCCTGCAGCAAAGTCAGCGCCACGGAGGGTGGGCAGCCTGGGCAGATTCCCCCCCCCCCAGCAGGACCCTCCTGCCTCCTGGAAGCGCTCCCAGCAGGGGCGTCTCCTCCATCCGTAGGCTGGCCTGCGTGTGGCTGGAGGGGCCAGGCTGATGCAGCCGGGCGCCCCCCCCCGGCTCTTCCACTCCAGCCCTCCCACTGCAGACGCTCCCTGGCCGTGCCGCTTCCGGCGGGTGATCCAGGCTAACAGGCAGGGCAGCCTCCCCGAGAACCAGCACCGCAACCCGATACAAGGAGGGGGAGAGGGACCCTCGACACTCGGAACCCCCCCGCCCCCTGCCAAGCCCCCAGCCCCGCCTTGGACTGACACAGGCAGTGTTAAATACATTTTAATGTGCATGGAGGGGGCGGCCCACCCCTTGCCTCAGACAAGTGGGGAAGGGGCCGCGCATGACTGCCTGCCCACCCCACTGCCTCCTGCGCTGGCAAGAGGACGGCAGCTCCGGGAGATGGTTAGAGAAGCGGGGAGCGGGCCGAGAGGACGGGGGCCAGGCCTGGGAGGGGCGAGCGGGAGCCACCTGCTTCTGGGGCGCTCCGAAAGGCCCCACGCCACAAAGCCCGGAGCACTGCAGCCTCCCACCGAGGAGGAGGCGAGTCCAGGCGGCGCTTGGCCCCTCGCAGAGGCGGCCACTCCACTTGCGCCAGGGGCCGTCGTGGGCGGAGGCCCGGCTTCGGGGAGCATCCTGCAGGGCACGTCCGGCCCAGCCGCCTGCTGTGGGGCGGGGGCGCCCCCTCTCGGGGCCCTGCCTGCTGCGGGCACAGGATGGTCGGGCGACGGCTCCCGCCCTGGGAGGAAGGATCTCGCTGCGCAGTTGCCCTGCCGCTGCCCAGCCCCCTCAGACCTGGGACTGCAGCCACAGGTGTGGGTCGAATCTGGGCCGGCCGTGGGGCAGGGAGGGCCGCTCGAGCTCAGGGGTCGGGCTGCCGCTGCTGGAGGAGCCCGAGCTGGAGTGGGATGGCACACGGGCCCCAGGGCCCCGGAGGTCCGCGCGTCCCTTCAGTGCGCTGAGCTTGGCGTCCAGGGAGAGCGTGCGCGGCCGGCCCCGCGGGGCATGTGGGTGGCCGGGGCCGGGGCTGGCGCTGCTGTCGGTGTCGGACGCCGGGGCATGCACAGAGTCCTCGAAGAGTGAGAGCCATGCGGGGCAGCCCAGGCCAGAGACGCGCCGCGCCAGGATCTCCGTGACGGCCTCGATGTCGTCCGCGGGCTCAATAGCTGCGGGACAGAGACGCCGGGCTTACTGGGCCGCCGGGAGGGGGCGCCCCAAGCAGCTGCCGTGGCTCGGCCTCACGGGGCACCTCACTTCCTGGCCGCTCCCAGCAGAGCGCCCCCCCCGCGGAGCGTTACGTGGCCCGCGCCGAGGGCAGCATGCCCTGCCGGACCGCCCCCCGGCCCCTCCACCAGCCAGGCGCTGCAGCCCTCTGCTCCGGGGCGCCCAGGCCGCCTCCGCCCGCGCTGGGTTACGTCACCTGTCGCTGTAATATGAGGACAGCAGCGCCCGGATCTCCGCAGAGACGGCGTTGTCCTGCAACAGGAGCCCCTCGCAGGTGGGGGGCGGCCCCCCGGGGCCGGGGAGCGCTGGGGTGGGCAGGGAGGGCGAGACGGAGAGGAGGAGACAGAAGAGGAAGGCGTGCAGAGAGAGAGAGCAGCAGGAGAGCGCAGAGTTACAGACACTGACCGCGGGGTGGAGAGGGGCAGCGCGGGGGCCGTGGAGGGGGGCCGGGGCCTCGCAGACCCCAGGGCCGGGTGGCTGGGAGAGCAGCCGGAAAGGCCAGGGGGCCCTCGCGCCCCTTCCAGGCCATGCCGGGTTCAGAGAAGGCGGCCCGGTCGCCAGGCAGCCGGGGCAATTCCCCGAAGACGGGCCGTCCCGCGCCCCGCCTGGCGTGCACCCGCCCCTCCGCGCCCCGGCTGCAGGCGGCCAGCGCAGTGGCTCCGAGGCTGTTGCCGTGGTGGGCCCCGGGCCCCCTCGGCCCTGTGAGCCCCCCGGCCTCTTACCCATCTCGTGGTACAGGGAGCCCTGCCTGGGCAGCAGGGCCGGCGGCCGGCGCGGCGACGGCACCTCCACCTTCATGAGCTCGTCGCAGCAGTGCTTCCACTGGCCTGTGGGGAGGGGGCGGGCTGGGTGGGGGGCACGGGGGCTGCTCGCCCGAGGCCTGCGCCACCTGTGCTGCCGCCCACTTGCGGGGTGCAGCGTTGCCGAGCCGGGCCGCGCATGCAGGAAAGGCCCCCGCCCCCACCAGCGCCTGCACCCTCCAGGTCCCCTCGCCCAAGGCAGGGAGCCCCGCAGGAGCTGTGCCGGGCAGCGCGTCGAGGTCTGGGTGGGGGGTCCCTCCCTCCAAGAGGTCTGGGCCGTTCCAGGGTGCCCCCTCTGGGGGAACTGATAAGACTTGCAAAAATAGGGGGGCATATATGGGGTGAAGGGGGGCTGCCCCACCTTAAGCTCACCTGCGGAGCATTTAACCAAGTGCAGCAGGAGCTGCTGCTGGGGGAGTTCGGGGTATCCTGAGAGCAGGGCAGTGGGGGGCACCTGGCAGACGAGGGGGCACCCCGAGGAGTGGGGCTCTGGAGTAGCCCTGCCCCTATGGTGAAAACCTGGGGGGCTTGCCCCACGTTACTTAGCTGTGGGTAGCTGGCAGGGTAGAGGGGAGGGAAACGGTGGATTAGGCGCCACGAGGGGCCTGGGGTAGTCCCCCCCCAGCCCCCCCCCCGTCACCACAGGAGGAGCGGGTGCAAATCCCTTCAGAGGGCAGAGCAGGCCTCTCCTGCCAGACCCCATAAAGGACTCGGGCAGCACTCACGCACGCTTCTGCCTGCACGCAAGCGGCCCCCCCCCCGGCCCCCAGCCCCCCCCCCCCCCCCCCGGCCCCCCCCCCCCCCCCCCTCGGTTTCGCAACGTGCGGCGAGACGCACACCCCGAGCCCATGCCAGGAGCGCCTCCGTGCCCCCCCGCCTGCCCCCGCCCGGCCGGGACGCCGGCCCCGCTCCGCCCGTGCTCACTCATGTCGTAGAAGAGCTGCCAGAAGGCCTCCATCCAGCGCTGGGTCTCCACCCGGGACTCGGCCAGCAGCGTGTGGGTCACCTCCTCGCCCCCGTAGCGGTTCGTGACGGAGATGCTGTGCAGGCGGCTCTTGGGGTCCTTCTCGGTGGCCCGGATGCGGGTCTCCTGCGGGGAGGGGCCGTGTGTCCAGGCGAGCCCCGGCCACCCTGCCGGGTGGGAGGACGCCCCCACCTGCCCCCTGCGCCGCCCCGGCACGTGAAGGGCTGGCAGGGCAGCGGCCGGGCCTCGTGCCCCCGCGAGCCCTCCGCGCCAGGCGACCCCCAGCCACTACCCGCGTGGGCCTCACCAAAGTCCTCCCTGGCTGGCCGCTCGCGAATGGCCGCCGCCCCGTCAGGAGCCCCCTGCCGCCCGGGCCCCCCGCGTGTGCGGAGCGGAAGGGGCTTCCGCATGGCCGAGAGGCAGGGCTGGGGAGGCAGAGCAGTCCTCGCAGGGGGGGGTGCCTCCCTCCGGCCGTCAGCCCCACCGCCCGTCCTGCAAATGGCTGCGGGCCGGGAAGCAGCGAGGTGGGGGGACACTGACCGCATTGCACCGGTGGGGAGGGGGGACAGCCGGCGCCAGCCCCGGCCGCTGCTTTTCAGAAACTTGCAAGTGGCCACATCCGCTGCAGTGGGATTCCCAATGTCGGGGCCGAGTGCATGGGGCGTCCTGCTCTGCCCGCCTGGCCGCCCCGCATGCCGACGGCAGCCCATGCAGCGCGGCATGTGTCCCGCCACGGTGGCCCCGGCCCCTTCCCGAGGAGCGGGGCCCCGAGAAGCATCCTGCGGCAAGGCTGGCCGCACGTCCCACGGGGGTCCCTCGCGTGCCTTTTGGAGGCAACCCTGGAGCGCGGGTCTGGCAAGTGGCTATGGGGAAGCGCCCCCCGTGGTCTGGCTGCGCCCACTTCCGCACCGCGGGACCAGCAGGTGTGCAGTCGAGGGGCAGAGGCAGCCCCTGAGGCCTCTGGGGCCGCACGGGGCCAGGGATGGAGCAGGGCAGCGTGCGGGCGATGCAAAGGGCCCGCCCGAGGTCCGCGAGGACCTGGCGAGGGGGCGGCCCCGCGAGAGGTGGGGGCGGGAGACGCTCCCGCCCGGCTCGGGCTGCCAGCCACGCACCTTGTTGATGGCGATGGTGAGGGCCGGCTCCTCCTGGGCGTCCGCGTCCTGGGGGTGCCGGTAGCAGAAGAGGTTGGAGCCTCGCAGAAGGCAGAAGAGCCGCAACCAGCCCGGCGGCTCCCCCTGCTGCACTGACTGCTGGGAGAGGAAGCCGGGGTGGGGCGGCTGGCCGGGGCCCACTCAGCGCCCCCCCTCGGGCCTCGCCCTTTCCAGGGTCACCGCCTCGCCCTTTGGCAATCACCCCCAGGCGTCCCAGGAGGAGGCACCGTTGTGCAGCCCGGGACAGGCCCCCCTGCCCCCAGCCGCCGCATCCCGGCACAGGGGCACCCCAACGGTCCAGGCGGGAGCAACCCCGCGGCGGCGCCCAGGGGCCCCGTGCAGCCAGAGCCAGGGTCCTGCTTGGCAGCTGCCCTGCCGTGCCCCCGCGGAGCCCTTACCTGCACCTTCAGGAAGCCGCACATCAGCTGGTGGAGCAGGCAAGCGGGCTGGGCTGCCAGGCGGCAACAGAGGCTCCCGTAAAGAGGCAGCCAGAAGGAGCTCTCCTCTGGGGCAGAGGGAGAAAGGGGCTGCTCAGCCGCGGCAGCCAGGGGGCTGGGAGGACCAGGCGCAGCCCGAGCACAGCCAGGGGGAGAAGGCCCCGTGCCGCCAGCCGCGTGGCTGCAGCCCGGCAAAGCCCCGGCAGTGCCGCCACCGGCTCCGGAGAGGCTTCGCGCCGGGCCTGCGAGGCGGTCGGCAAAGCCCTCCCGCTGCAGCGGCAAGGGGAAGGGGCTCGCTTTCCTCCCGGCAGGGAGCCGTTCCGCCCTCGCCCCAAACAGCCCTGCCGCGCGTACCGTTGCCGGCGATGACCAGGTCGTGGGTGCGGAAGGCGTCCTGGACGTCGGCCAGGTGGAGGGAGGTGCCGGCCAGCAGCTGGTACTTGGGCCCCCTGCGAGGGAGGGCGCAGAGAGGGGCGTGTGAGAGGGGGCCGGGGCACGTGCGGGCCCGGGCGGGGGGCCGGGGGTGGGCACTCACGTGATGCTGGGGCCGGGCAGCAGCAGGGGGCTGCTCCCGCCATTGCTCACGGGGCTGCTGGGCGCCGCTCCTTCCAGGGCCGTCCGCACCCTCTTCCCGGACGAGCGCCCCAGCGAGCTGCTCAGGCGGCTGGCCAGCTTCTTGGGCGCATTGCCCAGCGCGGAGTCTTCCTCCAGGCTGGCGCTGTACAGCTCTATTTTCAGCTCGAAGTCCGGGCCGGCCTCCGTGCTGCGGGGGAGGGAGAGATCAGCCGCCACGGGAAGGCACGCCAGGCCACCTGGGCAGCAGGTGAGGGGGCGGCCTTCTGGCTGCAGAGCCGCGGACGGGCCGCCCGAGGGTGTGCCTGCCGCCCGGCGGAGAAGACACCTCGTGGGTCTGGAGTCCCACGGGGCCCCCAGCCGGAGCTGCCCAGCCGGCACAGCGTGGCTCCTCCAGGGCGAGCCGCAAGCGGGTGGAGTGGACACCCCGGCCGGACTAGTGGGGGCGACGCGCGAGCCTTCCCTGTGGCCACCCCACAGAGGCCCATCCCCGCCTGTCCTGAGCGCACTCCTGCCTGTCTCGGGAGGCACACTGCGGACGGGGGAAGTGACCTGCCAGGCGTCGGAGCCCCCCAGTGGAGCAACCCCTGGGAAGCGGCCACCGTCCTGACTAGCCGTGTTGGCAAGAAGCTGCCCCCGCCGGAAGCTGCGACACGGAGGCCCTCCCCTCCCCCAGTGCAAGCGGGCAGAGGGGCTCCGGCTCCCACCCCAGAGTGCTCCGCTGGCAGCCGGAGTCCTCAGGAGGGGCGGTGGTGGGAGTGTGGGGCGAGGTCGGGAAGAGCCGCTCTGTTCCCCACTTGGCCAGGAAGCCCCCTCCCTCTGGGTGACATGGGGGCAGTTGAGAGCTCTCGGCCCACATGACCACATGGAGTTGTGCAGATAACAGGGAATGACATCAGCTGCCCAGGTTCCTTGCAAGAGGGAAAAGGACGGATACAAATTCAGTGTCAGCAGCAGCAGCAGCAGCAGCAGCAGCAGCTGGAAAAAGCTACTTTGGAAGGTGCACGTTTATTCATTTGGTTGGTAGATTTAGACCCCATCTTTTTTCTTACAAAGAACTCAAAGCAGCTGACCGAATTCTCCTGCTGCTCTCAGTCTCATCCCCACAACAACAGCCGTCAGGCAGGCTGGGCTGAGTCTGGGGCTGCCCAAAGTCACCCGGCGGCTCCATGGCTGAGTGGGGATGGGAGGCCAGACTGCCATGCTCGTCACCACGATCCCGCACTGCGTTCTCATGCCCTGGGCATCCTGTCCCACGGGGCTTTTTCAGTACCCGTCTCCAATCCTCCCTGCTCTCCAAAGGCCCAGACCAGCCGAATTCGACTTCGAAAGCCAAGCTTTTGTGACAAGAATCAGTAGCAGGGCAGGGAGGATCACAGGAGCGTTTGCCCACCGACCGGTGGCTTCCAGAAGATCGCCTCCAGCGCCACAGCAAGGCGGCCGGGTGGGGACTGACTCACAAGAGGATCGTGCTCTCAAAGCAGATGTCCGCAAGCGTCCGGTCCACCAGCACCATCTCCGTGTCGTAGATTTCTGTGCCGATCCGCAGCAGGCAGAACACGGCACAGCGGTGCAGCTCTGGAAGGAGAGGGGCCGCTCAGCACTGCAGCCGGCCGTGCCTCTGCACTCCGCGGCTCTGCCCAGTGCGGCCTTGCAGGGCTGCTCGCAGCACAGTGACGGCCACCCGCCCCCCTCTGCTGGCGCTGCGGGTGTCCGGGAGCTCTGGGATTCACAGGCCGGGCCGGGCGGCGCAAGGGGCGGGCATGGGTCCCGGAAGGGCGAGCGCCCAGGGAGGGACGAGGAGCGGCTGTGTGGCGAAGCCCCGGAGGCGGCCCGGCCCAGGTCTTGCTCCCGGGAGGGCCTCCATCCTCAGCAGGCAAGCAAGACGTGGCGTGCGCGTCTCCTCGTTTACGCTTTCACGCCCTGCTTCTCCCTTTTACCGTCGAGCAGGGAGGCAACGCAGCACGAGTGGCAGGAGGGCCAGCGCGTCCTTACGGGCACCGCCAGTCCGTGCCACGCAAGTGTGCGCCTCCCTGCCAGCTCGCAGGGCCGGGCATGTCGCGGCCTCCGTCCCAGGGCCACTGGCGTGCATGAAGGCCGCGCGCGCGCAACCGCACCACTCTGCCGCATGTGGCCCAGGCGCGGTTGGAGGCACAGGCTGGAACCGGCCTCACTGCGCGAGAGACTGCCACCAAGGACATACCCCCCTTGTTCTTGAAGTATTCCGTGTCCTTCCACATCAGGGGAATCCGGAGATCTAAAAAAAAAAAGCCAGGGAAAGCTTGCCATCCCCTGAAGAGCACCGGTTACACAATCCACACTGACACAACTCCTATGTGTGCGCAACACAACCCTGAGAACACCCTGCAGGCCCTGATGCACCTGGGAGGAGGGCTTCGGAGTCGAACGTGCTGCAAAGCAGCCGTCCACGCAGCCACGGTCTCTCCCCTGCCGGTCCAGGCAGGACCGGGCGCTCTGGCTCCTGGCTCTGAGCTGTCGCTCTCTCCAGCTGCCGGCGCCCAGTTCCATGTGAACGGGAGACTTTGCTCGGGGCGGGACAGGCGTGAGTGCGCTTGATCTTTGGGTGTTTTCAACGGTACTGGAGGGAGCCCAGGTGGCAACGGCAGAGGTGCGTTGGGGTGAGGAGGGAAGCGGGCCTCCTCCAGCGATGAAGAACCAAGCAGGATGGCAGGCGCACCCAAAGGACGCATCCTGCTCTGAGCCATCAGCACCAGAAGCCGCACTCGAGAGCCACCGAACCGGACCTGCGGTTCCCCAAGTACCGATCCGGACCGATCCGGACCTGTCCCCCGAAATGGCTTGGCACCCGCCTCTGCACACAGATCGGCTCGCTGCACTTATCCGTGCGCCGCGCTTGGATTGCTGCAACGCGCTGGTTGTGGGGTGCCGACGCAGCTCCAGACGCCCGCTGCCCAAGAGCGTCTTCCAGGGACAACTCGGCACTGTCACTGGCGAAGCTCCTCCTGCTCCGGTTTTGGGACCAGCGTGGCTTCTGCCCCACAACACAAGCGGGGCTTGAGTCGGCCGTGCCTGTCCCAGCCAGCCGGTCGGTGCGTTCTCACCTGAGATGCAGACTCTGCCCCGACACGGCAAGCGGTCATCCAAGGGACCGGCATCCGAAGGGCTGCATGGGGGGGGGGGGGCAGAAGGCAGAAGCAGCAACAAGAAAAGCAACAACAGGACCTTACTCAAAGGTCTTCTGAAAAGGCCGAAGCTTCAGCGAGCATCACAGGAAAGAAACAGGATGACTGTGCGGACGGAATGACTCTGTGTGGACGTGCCTGTTGGACGCCACAGCCCTGCAAGCCGCCTTCAGGCCGAAAGGAGGGGCAGCTCTCTGGGGTCACTGTGCAGCCGCAGCCCAGCATCCCCGTCGGGGCGGAGCTGGCCAAGCAGACCGCGGGGCCCGCTCCGGGGGCCACGAGGGGGGCCGGGGCAGCCGCATCGTGCCCGCCACGCCGTTCAGGGCGACACGACTCTGCCGGCTACCGGCACGGCCACCGAGTCGCTCTGGGAGCAGCGCGAGCCACACTCGGTCGCGTGGGTCCACCGCCCGGCCTTCGCTCAGCTGCCCCATGGCAGCCAAAACTGGGCCAGGCGTGTGGTCTGGGGGCGCAGCGGCCCGGGAGTTCTGAGCGCTCCTTATCTGGTAGCAGCACGCCTTATTCTGAGACCACTAGCTCCGACAGCTATGTAATTTGCTCTTTACAGTGTACAATGTACGCAGCCGTGGGTGTTATTGCTTTAGTCCTTCCACTTTATAATGGCTCTTATAAAGCCATATTAGCATTTTTGTGCTGTATATGTACGGGTATTTTATGTAAATGTGCCGCCCGTTCCACAGCGCCTTGTGACGGCCGAGAGATGTGATGGTCCAGATGGCAGCCCTCCAGGCTCTTTGCCAGCGCAAAGCCATGCACAGAGGACCTGATCCGGCTCAGGCTGGCAGGGAAGGGGGTGCCCTGAGCCACTCTGCCTGGCCGGGCCGCAGAAGGACCCCTGGGAAGATGCTCTCAGAAGGCACCAGAACACCGTGCGGCCAGATCAGGGCCCTCGTTTCTACAAGGGGCATTCAGAGCAGCCAGCAAAGTGCAGGCAGGGAATAAACCTCCATTCTAAGGAAACGCCAGCATGCGAGCAGGGCTGTTACAACGAGCTAACCCAGCAGAGGCAAGGCTCAGCCCAACAAGCCCGAATTCAAAAACAGCAGCACGGCGAAGGGGACAGTGTTCAGGGACGAGCCCCCTCTGACCTTCCAGACTTTGAGGGACACTCCAGCCCGGCCCTTTCCCATCTTCTGCATATTCACAGACACCCAACCCCTCCTTGGAACTCCCTACAGTTACTCTCCCCAGGTTCTTCCACCACAGCCAGACCTGACATGCTCCTGAGCACGTGCAGAGTGCTCGCCCCTAGCAGAGTGCCTTGCCACGAGACCAACGGCTCCCGGCAGGGCACAGGCCCGGCACCCCTCCTCCGGGTCTCCCCGGCGGCCCGCCCCCACACCGCTGCACTCACCGGCGGGCCATGCGCTGCATGACCTGCGCCTCCTTCATGCGCTGCAGCTCCGCCATGTAGGCCAGGATGCGGCTGTTGCAGACCAGCAGGCTCTTGGTGACCTCCAGCGCCTGCTGGCGGCGGGTGCAGGCGGCCAGCAGCTTGCATGCCCCTTCGCGCATGCGGATCTCGTGGTCGATCTTCTTCTGGATGTCCGTGCCCTGCGGGGAGACGGGCATGTGTGAAGGGCGCTGGGCGGGGCGGGGGCCTGGGGGGCTCCGGGAGATGCAGCAGGAGCGTGTGCGGCCGCTCCTGCTGGGGGAATGGGCAGCCCCAGGCGGCCTGGGGGGCACTCAGAAGAAACGGGGGGCCCTGCTGCGTCTGGCTGCAGAAACGCAGGGTGGGGAGCCTGCCGGCCGGCCGGCCCAGGCCTCGGAGCCGAGCGCCTTTTAAGCCATGGCACAGCCCTGTCTGTTCGCAGCTGGACTCCGGAAAAGGGATGTTTGAAGGTGGGTGCACTGAGCATGTGCGGAAGGCTCTCGCTCGCTCATCCCTCTGTCCCGGGAAAGGCCTTCCGGTGGGACCGGCCCCCTCCTGCCTGCTGCCTCCACCCCCGTCCTCTCAGCTGGGCCAGGAGGGCACAGCTGCCCCTGCCTGGGGAACTCGGTTTCCTCTGGGGCTGCGTTCCAGTGGTGGCAGAAGCACCCCCGAACCAGCGCATTTTCGCTTCATGTATGCATTTATTTCACCGCTCTGCTGTAACTGAGCCCTGGAAAAATTTGCACCTGCACCTGGACGGCCCCAGTGAGCGATGCCTGGAGGCGGGGAAGGACCCCCTGGGCCCGAGGCTTCGCACCCCTTAATTCCGCCTCAAAACTGCCCTGCAGAGCTCAGGGGCTTTGGATTAGAACCATATTAAATGCCGGAAAGATGCAGAGCAGCCTCCCCTTGCCAATATCCTATGGAACACGTGGAGGAGAAGAGTCGGAGTCCCAGCATCCACAGCTCCCCACCAGGGGAACATGGCTCCCAGCAATAACAAGCTCCAGAGCACACCTCTGCAACCTGGTCCGGAAAGCCACTGTTCAAGGCAAGACCCAATCTGGAACGGAGCAAGCGGCCACCCCTCCCTTCGGAAAAGATGCATCGGAGCATGTGCAAAGCGCATCCTCCTTTCCCGGAGCAAGACCCGTGCTGGTGGCAGGCGCTCCCCTTCCGCACAAGCTGCAGCAGAGGGGCGCGAGGGGTGGAGGGACCCTCACCCGCTTCTGAGCGCAAAGTGACGCTGGGCATGGCCAGGGGCTGCCTGCCCCGGCGTGGCGGCTCCCGTGGCCACCTGAGCGGGACACAGCCACAGATGCCCACCAAGGGGGCTCTGCGTACATCCCAAAGAGCCCCCCCCCCGCAGCAACCCCAGCCAGGCCGCAGGTCCCACCCTCGTGCGAAATGATCGTGCGAGAGCACGTGCAGACTGTGCCCCCACATACACTGTCAGCCTGCAGAACCACCTGGGGATCGGGGAGAAAAGCTTGGGGGCACGGGGGCCGCGTCCACAGAGCGCTGCAGCCCTGCCGACCCCCCTCGAGCAGCACACGCAGCCGGGCCCGGCGCTCCTTCTGCAGAGATCAGGGGCCGGCGGACAGCCTCCGTGGGCTCCGAGCCCCTCGCCAGCCAGTGCCCCCTCCCTCGCCGCCCCGGGGGCTGGGGGCTCCCCGCCACACGCACCTGCGCAACCCGCCCGCTCTCCAGGCTCCCGGCGCCGCTGCCCGAGCTGCCCATGGCCGCAGCTGGCCGGCCGGGGGCGGGGGTCTGGCGGGTGTGGGGCGCCCGGCCCCAGCAAGACGCGGACGGCGGCTGAGTGGGACGGGCGCGAGGCGAGGCGAGGCGGCCTGGCGGGGGCCGCACCGGCAGCAGCGGGTGGGTGAGGAAGCGAGCGAGCGAGCGAGCGAGCAAGCGCGGTGCTGACATCACCGGCCGCCTGAAATAGCTCAGCCGGGGAGGGTGCAGCGGCACGGCCCCCGCTCCTCAGAGCCAGCGGTGAGGGGGTCGTGGCCCCCCCACAGCTGCGCTGGGGAGCTCCTCCTTCCGCGGGGGCATCTCGGCTGCCTCCCAGCCACCGGGGGCTCTCTGGGTCCAGCCCAGGGGAGGCTTGGACCCCCCCCAGTGCAGCCCCCGCCGGGGGGGGGGCAGCCTGCGGATTCGGGCGGGAGCTGCCTGTGAGGGGCTCCCCAAGCCCGGGAAGGGAATCCCCCCTCTGACAGGGCGAGGAGCTTCCCTCACCCAGGCAGGAGGCAGGAGACCACGGCCAGAAAGCTTCCGCGATCGGGAAGCATGGAAATTAACCAAGATAAATGAAAGCATAACATGGAGCATGAACGAAGGGCACGGCACGGGGTGTGGAGGAGCCCCCTGCGGATGAGGCATGCGACTGCCCCGTTGCCCCTCCCCGGCTGGGGCCTTTGGGCCTTCCAGGAGATCATGCTGAGATGCTGAGGCTCCTGGGGGCAGCAGTGGGGGGACCCTGGAAGGGGCGCAAGGCCTCCGGCCTCCACCACGCAGCTTAAACTGAGCCCGGATTCTGTGCCTTCAGTGCTAACATGAAATAAAAACCAGAGTGCCCCTGAGCATAGGCAAAGTGCCATTCCTTCCACCCCCCGACCATTAAACGTGCCCAAGATGCCCTGGGATGAGGCAGTCGGCCTCCCCAGGAAGCAGAGCTGGGGGGCAGTGGGCTGGAGGGCTGCCCCCTTGGCCTGTGTCCGTTTGCAGGCCTTCCTGCCTCCCTGCCTGTCCTGGCCACGTCCTTCGCAGCTCATGGCGGCCTCCACGCTCAGCAGGCCCACGTGTCCCAAGCTAAGCCCTGGCTCGGGAAGAGCGTCCCCTCGGGGCATGGTGCTCTGGCCCCACGGCAGCTCTCCCACAGCAGGGGCTGCCCTGGAGCGGCACAGCCCCAGCCCCAGCCTCTTCGTGCTCCACCCTGGTGGGAGGGGCAGGCCTGTTCCCTGGGGCCTCTCCGTGGCGCCCCGCGTGGAGGGGGTCCTCGCGCCACAGCCCATGGGCAGCGCACGAAGGGTGGCCCCACCGCGACGGAGGGGCTCCTCCAATCGCCCTGCCGGCATGCAGACGGGAGGCCGGGGGGGAGGGGCGCTGAGGGCTGCCTGCTGACTGGCGCCCCTGGCCTGGGGCGCCTGCCCCTCTGATGCCCCTGCACGGCATGCGGGGACCCTGCCCAAGCTGGCTCCCCACCTCACCTCACCTCACCTGCCCAGCCCAGCCCCCAGGGGGCCCTCCCAGGACACCGAGCAGGCCGGGCTCCTCCCCTGGCCAGGGCAGCTCTGTGCTGCAGCTGCGCCCCAGGGCCCCGGCAGCCTCTGCCTGCCCGAGCCGTGTGGGGCCAGAGGGCTCTCTGAGAGTGCGACACCCGCTTGGCGGCCCTCTGCAATCTTGCACGCGATCCCCAGTGACCAGAAGGGACCAGCAGTCCAGCAGGCGCAATCCGAGGGGGAGCAGGGCCCCCCCCAGAGGCCCCAGACAAGCCACCTGGCTTCCCCCACATGTGCCGCCACTGCAGGCCGGCGGGGCCCCAGGGTCCCTGCGGGCTTCTCGGTCAGTCGCCTGGTCCAGGGGCACCCCCAGCCTGCCAAGGAGCAGCTGCAGGAGGGGCACCTCGCCGGGCCACTTCATTCCACTGCTGGGGCTGGCCCCACTCCAAACGCCCACATGGGCACCAGGGCCGCGGGAAGGCTCTGGCAGGAAGCCCTCATTGTTCGGCCTCAGCCAGGGAAAGTCGAAGGCAGAAGAAGGCAAGGGAGACCGAGCAAGAGATGGGCCGACTCCATCGGGGACGCTGCAGCCCCCCCACTTAGAGCCACTGCGCAGGGGTGGCGTGGGCGGGTCATTTGGGGGCTTCCATTCATGGGGTCGCCACAAGTCGCGACAGCACGGAGCGGCAGCGTCGAAGGGGACGCCGCGACCGGGTGGCCCCGCAGCTCCCCTTCCGCGCAGCGGGCAAGCAGAACCGGGGCACTGTGATGCACGTCCCGCTTCTCTGGACGTGCACAAAGCCGCCACACGCAAAGCCGCCGACTGGAATGTCAGGCTAAGTGGCGGCGCCAGCACCCTTCCCGGGGAGCCACGGGGCAAATGTGGAGCCCCCAAAGAACCACGGAAACGGAACAGCCTGAAACGCAGCCCCAGACGGTGCTCGGGACGCTCCCATGGCCCCAGCACCAGAGCGGAAAGGCCCCGGGTGCCCCGGGAGTGTGGAGGGGCTTCTCCAGGCTGAGCGTGCACGGGGGGCACCCCAGAACGCTTGCCGATGTCTCTGACGGGGGCAGGGCGCTGGGAGCACCGCAGAGGGACTGTGCCCACGACAGCGCCACGCGCTCGCCTCGGGTCCCCTGCCACGCTGCCAGTTGGCCCGGGCCACTCAAGCTCCCCGGCCACAGGGGGCAGCCATGCTTGTGCCTGCTGTGGCCCCCACCCTTCCGATGGGGAGGACGGCTGCCTCCCTCGCCCGCTGCTGGGCACCCGGCAGCCGGCGGAGGCAGACGCTCCGGAGGCCCGTGGTGGGTGAGCCAGCGGTTCTCCTTCACCCAGCCAAAGCAGGCTGCCCCAGCGGAGGCAAGTCTGGGGGCTCACAGGGTGCCGGCCACGGTGAGGGTGGCCGCTGGACGAAGCGCTCTGCGCCACCGGGAAGCCTGCTGCCTTCGACTCCCCTCAGGGGACCCAGCAGGGCAACCGGGGCTCGTGGCCCAGCGCCCACTCCCCCGCCTGCAAGGCGCCAGCGCCTGGGGGCCGCCGGAAGGCGGGCCGCAGGTGTTACCTCGAGGCTGAGCGCGATCTGCCTGATGTAGAGCATGTTCAGGTCCTCCAGGATGCGCAGCTTGTCCTGCATCTCGGCGAGGCTCCGCGGCGGCTGTGCACGCGGCTACTGCTCCGCGGGGGCCGGGCCAGGGGCCCCCTGCCGGGCCCCCATCTGGCGCCCGCTCCGCCGGACGGACGCCTGGGCTCTTCTGCGCGGGAAGCCGAGCCAGCGCCGGCGGCGGCGGCGGCGGCGGGGGGGGCGCGAGCCGGCGCGGGGCGGGCGTGCCGCTCCGTCAGCAGATTCCGCGCCCCCGGCCCAGCTGCGGAGAGAAGA